ACAGAGATATACCAGGAATAACTCCAGCCAAAGGTGTGGAAAAGTAAAACATCTGAAATTCTTGAAGTTCCCAATTAAACTTCCCAAATAGCCTTAACTCTGCCCCATGTTGTGTCATGAATCACGTGGAGCAGATTTATACCCACACTTACATCTGCCAGACAATTTCCTCCTATTGGCAGTGTACTTAGTCCTTGGCAGAACTTTCAGGTATTCAAAATTACTGTGCAAATCACGCCAAGGATTACCTTGCAGACTTCTCATCAGACGTGCCAGGATGCACCATGAACAAATGAAAAAGCCACACTTCCAATCTGTAGCGTAAGCTGATTTTGCGTGAAAGTTTGAGCTATCGAGTGCAGGTGGGCACGTAGCTATTGAAATGATTGTGGAAATTGAATTTATGGGGGGAGGGACATGAGCCAAAGTGAATGCCTTATTAAGTCTGGGCATGCACCCTCAGAAACACACACAAAGCTGTCATCCAGTTCTCCACTTCAGAATTACCTTCTTGTGACTCCATGATAGCAGGGACCATCACATTGTTGGCACATCTCTCCTTCCGTCTGAATGTTCCAGCGAAGAGGATTCCACTAAATTGTAGCATCTCAGTCTGTCATTGCAAACATGACCTTGTCCTCCCACGTTCATGCTAGCATAAACATACTCATTAGGGATCGTTGGGTTAATTTGCTGCGAGATGTGCTGTCATCGTAAAGCAGAGATATTTTAAAAATACAAGTCACGTATCTGTTACTGGATTGTGCCTTTAGGCTACTGAAAGCACCGAATTTTAAACATCTCAGGCCAGGTCCTTGGCTATTATAAGTCAGCGTAGCTCACTGGAGCGACCCAGATGGGCATCAGCTGAGAACCTGGCTTTGTGCTTGTTGCGTTTCGCTCTACCCGGAAACCAAACTCAGTGCGGTTACAACTCGGGGAAAAATATTATTTCTCACGTCCTGACGCTGCCAACTTGACTCGCGGGAGCAACCCACTGATGTCAGTGGGACCTCTTGCATGAGTGAAGACTACTCTCATCCATCAGGCACCAGCCCAAAAAGAGGCTATTGGTTCTACAGGCTGGACCTCCCTGGTCCGGCACCGTCGGGACTTGACCAGTCCCGGATGAGGGATTTTGCTGAACCAGCGGAGGTCATTTCCCTCCCAGCCCTGCCCTGGCCTCCAAGCTGGCTCCCCGCCTGCTGTGAGCCCTGCTGCCTTGCTGACCCCACCAGGCAGCTGTCCACTGGGGCTCCCAACCCCACTGGGCAGCCCTGCACCACCGCTCTGAGCCCCACCCTCCCTGGTCCGGCACCGTCGGGACTTGACCAGTCCCGGATGAGGGATTTTGCTGAACCAGCGGAGGTCATTTCCCTCCCAGCCCTGCCCTGGCCTCCAAGCTGGCTCCCCGCCTGCTGTGAGCCCTGATAGGAGCCCAAAAGTCCATCTCAACTAGTACGCTTAAGACAGTGGCCAAGCCAGAACCCATTTTTTAAACACATGTTTACCACTCCTTGTTATAAAAGACCAACTCAACTGACTAAATGTAACATCATTCTTTTAACGTCTACACTAGCGCAGAAGGTTGACTTAAGATACACAATTCCAGCTGGAGTTGACGTATCTTAAATCATCATCCATATAGTGGGAGGTCAAGGGGAGCAAACTCTCCTATCAGCTTCTCTGGCTTCTTGTGAGGAGCCGGAGTACTGGTGCTGACTGCGGTGCCCTCTGAGTTCGATTTAGTGGGTCTTCATGAGACCCACTAAATCAAAACCCGGAAGATCAACCACGGCAACATCGATCTTCTGAGAAGTGTAGACATGGCCTCTGAGTCTGGGAGAGAAATGTACCTGTGAAGTGGCAACACGACATGAAAATGTTCTTTCTTTTTAATCAGGGAATGCAGCCCAAACTCCCTTAATGCTATTCCCTAGTTCTGTTCTGTACGTTTTTAGAGGAAGAGAAAAAAGTATTTGTCATGAAAAGACGGGGGTAGTACAAAGGGGAATAACAGGAGTAGTGAGAAAGGAATATCAGAAAAATCTGCTTGACTGGGAGTTGTGGAATAATCTCTTATGGCCTCTGTATAAAACCATGGTACGCCCACATCTTGAATACTACGCACAGTTGTGGTCACCTCACCTCAAAAAAGATATCTTGGCATTGGAAAAAGTTCAAAAAAGAGCAACAAAAATGATGAGGGGTTTGGAACAGGGCCCATATGAAAAGAGATTAAAAAGACTGGGACTTTTCAGCTTAGAAAAGAGGAGGCTAAGGGGGGATATGACAGAGGTCTATAAAATCATGACTGGTGTGGAAAAAGTGAATAAAGAAAAGTTATTTTCTTATTCCCACGACATAAGAACTAGGGGCCACCAAATGAAATTAATAGGCAGCAGGTTTAAAACAAACAAGAAGAAGTTTTACTTCACTCAGCCACAGTCAACCTGTGGAACTCCTTGCCAGAGGAATTGGTGACAGCTAGGACTTTAACAGGATTCAAAAAAGAGCTAGATAGATTCATGGAGGTTAGGTCCATCAATGGCTATTAGCCAGGATGGGTAGGAATGGTGTCCCCAGCCTCTGTTTCTCTGGAGGTGGGTGACAGGAGAGGGATCACATGAGGATTACCTGTTGTGTTCCCTCCCTCTGGGGCATCTGGTATGGCCACTGTCGGCAGACAGGATACTGGGCTGGATGGACCTTTGGTCTGAGCCAGTGTGGCCATTTGTTTGTTCTAATTTCCCAAGGTTCACGGTGGAGTCTCCATCACTAACAAGTTTTAAATCAAGATCAGATATTATTTTTTCCTAAGGGGCACTCTTTGGGAGGCAGTTTTCTGGCCTGTGTTACACAGGAGGCCGTACAAGTTGATCACAGTGGGCCCTTCTGGTCTTGGAATCAATGATGCCCCATTGCTTTTTGACCTGGCCAAAATACTAGAGCGGGTTGGGTATAGAACAGTGTTGCACTGACATGGAGATCAAGAGAGCTTCCTCTGCCTGTAATTTCTGTTGGGTCTAATTCTGTGGCTGGTGGCCACTGCACATGGCACTAAAGCACGGGGTCAGGGGGCCAACTTAAGTCAGTAGCAGCAGCTCAGTGCAGTGCCCTGTGGCAGGTGCTTTTAGAGGATGCTGGATCAGTCATAGACACCAGGCTGTGACCCTTTGGCCTTTCATTCATAAAACTTCCCCTTCCTGGAGGCTCTGCATCGAGATGTCTAATCACTGCACTAGTGAGGCAGCTACTTCCAATCCAGTGCCTTCTGCTAATCCTGCAGAGTCCAGGATGGTGCCCTGAGATAGCTAGGGCACGTGCTAGCCAGCTAACGGACCCAGCAGAGCAGCTAAAAGCAGCCCCAGGCATCCTCCCCTGCACAGGCCACAAAAGCTGCCGAGAGCCGTGGCGGCCATAGAGTTCCAAGGTCACTCGCAGGCAGAGTTCTGTTCTGATTTCTTTTCTCTTTCTTCCTTAGCATGATGGAATATTCTCTGGATGGGCACAACGTAAGCTTGTCTGCCATCCGGACCGTCCGGGTACTCAGGCCTCTACGAGCCATTAACAGGGTCCCAAGTAAGTAAAACCCTTCTTTTCCCAGCGCGATGACCACAAAGCCGTGTCTTGATTCTGAACGTGCCGGGGGAAAGAGGCACAGCTTCGGGAATCTTATCGGAGGCAGCTCCTCCAGCTGTGCAAATTTGGCCCCCCGTATTGAAAGCATTGGTGCTTTATTTATCCTGGGATTGGCACAAGAGGCGGGTGGGCTTCAGTCCAGCTGTGACAAGCTTAACTCACCTCCCCGGGTGGGGAGAATGACGATCATGTGACAGGTAGGTCACGTGACCCAATCAGACTTCTTATAAAGGAGAGGCCTGGAGAGCGAGCAGCTGGTAACACTTCAGGGAGGAGACCTGGACAGGGCAGGAGCTAAGGACGCTGCAGCTGGTGCGAGGAAGCAGCTGCAGGAAGCAAGACTGGCTCTTGCAGGGAGTGATGGGTTTGTTTGCATGGTAACCCAGCCCTTGAAAAGGGGACAGGGTTGACAGTTGTCTGGTTTTGACCTGGACAGGCTGGTATTTGCGGTCCGGTAAAAAAAAAAACATGTAAAATGTCCGGTATTTTCTGTTTTTCTCAGACGGAAAGCCGCTTGGGACAGTCTTCCCTTGCTGCATCTGGTGGGAGTGGGGTGAGTGTGGAGTATGGGGATTTAAAGGCGCAGTGACTCTTTTTTGCTGAGAATTTATTGGGGACATCTGCTCTGTGATTGCTGCAGCTGGCCTGGGTCAGTGGACTTGAGCTCCAAAATGGCCGTTTGGACATTCAGAGTCAGGCTGGAGCCTGTGCTCTGAGATCTAGGGAGTGGGAAGGATCCCAAAGCCCCATGTCTGGTCTGGTGACCCAGCTGCTTGCCCCAGGCTGTGGCTGGTCCTGGCCCTTCCATGCTGATGGCCGTGTGTGTCGGTGGGATCCTTCTCCCGCTGTTCACCGGGAGGGGCCCCGTCCCCAACTGCCAGGCTCTGTGATGGGGGCGGAGCTCTGACTGGAGAGGTTGCTGTGGATTCAATAGGAGTTGCTTGGCTCCCCTTTGAATTGGGGCTTCAGCCGTGTCACTCCGGCAGGCAGGAATAGGGCACAGGGTGGTGCTAACATGCTTTGTTTCAGGTGAGAGCGATCGCTCCTGCCGTCCGTCCTTGTCAGTGCCTGTTGCGATTGTTAGGGCTCCGTGGAGGGTGCCCTGCAGATTGGGATAACTACATTTGGAGGTCACTCGCAGTGCTGTGTGTTTACATGCGAGCAGCCCCCACAAGGGGAATTACACGCCACGAGGCTGGGGACTGACCTATCACACGGCCCTGGAGAGCTGATGCAAATGGGCGTGAAGACACCAGAGGCCTTGTGGGCAGCGTTCCCTCTAAGCTGGGCACGTGAGCGGGTGCATAGCACAGACTCCGGGGCCGCCCAGCTGATGAGCAGAGCCCCCGCAGCATGTGTTTCCACAGGTGGTGCGCATCCAGACATGCCTCGGTGCACAGAACAAAATGCATTCTGCCCGTGGATGGAAAACACTACCTGTGGGTCCCACTTGCATCCCCTACTGCACAGACCACAAAAGCGGCCAGGAGCTGTTGCAGCCTGGAAGGTCTTCCAAGAATCTGGGTCACTCGCCGGCATAGCGATATCCTGCCTTAGAGGGCTACCCGCCTCTGCCCATCCCCTTTCAGTGGCTGTCCACGGCAATTAAGCAATGTTGGCGGGACACAAGATGCCCAGTGGATCCCTCAGGGCGTGCGGGGGTGTTCTTCCTTGTCTGACAGCTGGTCTGAGGCTTCTTAGGGAGACCAGTAAAACTGATACTTTACAGAGTGGGGGAAGCAATGCCTGGAATCTCCCAGGCAGAGAGGGTAGGTTGCAAACCTTGCAAAAACCGACTCCCCGGCTTCCCTACGGTAAGTCCTATTTTTATGGCTGTGCAGAATATCGCTAGTACATTGTCATCAGTCCTGGTTAAGGGCAGGGGAGTAGAGTCTGTACCTAGGGTGGTAAATGTTCATATTTTGATTTTAGTAAGGTTTTGGGCATGGTCCCTCGTGACATTCTCATCAGCAAAAGAGGGAAGTGTGGCCTAGATCACATTATTATAAAGTAGGTGCATAACTGATTGAAAGACTATACTCAAAGGCTACGTCTACACTGGC